TGGGATATGACCGAATTGTTCTTTTACACCCTAACACCTTTTGCCGCGTCCCAGAACGTTTCTGAACCGACTTATGAATATTTGATCCAAGCTCCGCCCACTTTAGTGCCAGCCCGCCCACTTCGAGGATTTGCCCACATTCGTTCCATTACCTCCAACCACTTTTTTCCCGCATTCTACAACGTTTCCAAGCAAAGTTGTATTCATTTTTTAAATGTGGCTTTTGTCTCCACGCACGCCTCGTCCATCGTTGGCGCTAAGCTTGCGTATGCCCAGCACGCATAAGGCCCTGCTTACTCTTTTTATTTTTTTTTCTGGCCCTTGCGCCTTAATTTCGGGTTATTAATACATCTGAAAAGTGCCGCCCATTTTGAGGAAGCTCCACCCGCAGCACGTGGGTCTCCTCCGTCTGGTTTGTTGACCCAATTTTGACCTTTGAACATTTCTCCCCGGTGTCTGAACTTTTTCGAGGCAAAAATAATATGTTTGACTGTTGGCACCGCCCATTCCGACACTTGCCCGCCCCCGTGGGTGGAGCTCTGCAGAGCTCGCATGTGCTCTAATAATTTTGTCTTACGTTCCACCCATTCCGAACTTGTCCCGACCTCTAAAGGTGTTTTTTCAGGCAAACCGGATTGTGACAGACAGGCAAACATACATACATACAAACAGACACCCCAAACCTGTGGATTATATATAGTAAGGATCCCTCAATAGAATTCACTGCGCCCCAGTGGCAAAGTGGCTGCGAAGGGCCGCGCCAAGCGACCGCGGCCCCTTATTGACTTGTTGAGATGTCAAATGGTAGCAGGCATTCATTCAAGCAATGTGCCGGTCTAGGTTCTAAGTGGAAGAACCAACAAATTAAGGTCCTTAGTGGAAGTAATGTATTACAGCATTCAATAAATACTAGATGTCAAATTTATGTGGCAGTGGTATCTAACACGTGGGCTGACCATACCTTCACTATTGCTTTCATTGCTTCCCTACACATTTATTATACAGTGCGTCTCCAAATGATACGACCACCTCTGATTTTCCCGAAAACTCGCCGTATACGATGTTTCTGAAAAAATTTCAAAGTAAAAGATGTGTCAAATCTGAATTGCAATTCGCACATTATCACCAAATTCCAACTCGGAACGAACATTTTCGACCAATTTTTCAGTAAAGGGTGCTTTTCCAACATCTCCAAATGAAACAGCCACTAATAAAATTAATTTATTTAACAACAACATACAACAAGGAGAGAAACTTGCAATGTCGATAATCGGTTGGTTCACCACTCTTTCTGATTACTTCGAAAATACGGTGGTCTAGGCTCAAATGAAGACTATTCATCTGCTTCTGGTAAACTTGGTGCCGTGCTTCGATGATCACTTTTTTCAAATCCTTGACTCCTCGGATTTGCTAGTTTTAGGCGTAAATCTTCCGTACCATAAAGCCCCATACATTTTTTATCGGATTCAAATCGGGGCTGCTCAACGGCCAGAGCAGGAGTGCAACCCGATGCCGAGAGAACCAGGCTGAGTGCTCTTGCTGACGTGAACTGGAGCGTTGTCTTGCATAAAATTAAGATTTCGATGCCGATTCTGACTCCAGAAAGGGCGAGGTGCACGGCGCATAACAGTTAGATAAAAGACGAGTTCATCTTCTTTGGTAAAAAACATAAACGGGTACGCCTATTCGTGAAATCACGACTCAAACCATGACCCCTCCTTGCTCGAAATTCCGTCTAGAAAACTGTAGTTTTTCCTCTCCCTGCCAATTAAATCGATTCCCGTCTGAACCATCACAATTGAGCTTCTTTTCATTGGAAAAACGACCTGAAGAACAAAAACCATCAAGAGGAAGAAGATCAAATGTCAGCACCTGAGGAACACCTTATTCTACTCGGTCGGCTGTACGTTCTGGCTAAAGCGACCCAATTCCCAGTCTTTTTGTCGTGAGGGGCGCCTTACGCATTTTCCGCTTGGCGATGAACTTTCTGATCATCTTGAAAACAATGTTTTTTGAGACATTGAGGTTCAGAGACGATAGGATTTCCATACAGGAATTGGTGGAGTTCGGCGCTTTCCTCAAAATACGGCACTTGTCTCTGTCGGAGAGCAGCGAACGACGGCCAGCACTTCTTCGGGTTCCACAGCCTTCAGGATGTTGATGAAGTTATCCACAACTGCGTGACATCTACCCAAATCTCATGCGATTCGACAGTCCCTGCTCCTTTTTCGCGAGGATTTGACTTTTCCCGAATTTCGAAAGCAGCTATCCTCTTCCCATTGCCTAAAAATGGAGAACATTACATCAACAAAGCAATTTCGTCGCGTTGAACTAAGACAGTGCATGAAGACGTGAAGTGGCTGTATCATTTTGAGACGTTGGAAAAGCACCCTTTACTGGCGAATGGCAATTTAGATTTGATTGGCATTTCTTTGGCACTTTTCAGAAACATCGTATACTGAGAATTTTTGGAAAAATCAGAGGTGGCTGTCTCATTTGGAGACGCACTGTATACCCACTCTACTTCTCGGTTGAAGTAAGTCCGAAGATGTTAGCGAGATTCAAAAATGAACTCGTTTGCGTGGGTGTGCAGAAATATCCAGTCTTTTTGAATTTCGTATTCCATGATTCTACACTTTTACCATGAATGGGTTTCTGATGTGATTTCTCATGACGGTATTCCCGAGAGGAAGTCCAATTCTCTATTGTCTCTCTGCTGCTGAATGACGCGTCTTGGATTTTGGATAGCCGGTTATTTTAATGGAGTGAAATTTGATCAGCTAGAATATGGGGCGAGCCAGAAATCCGTACGCTGTTGCTGCTGCAAAATGGACATACGCTGAGCAAAAAACGTAGTCGTCCCTTTCTACCTCTCTGAGTTATGACTACACAATAAACTAAGTATTACTTCCTGATGGACTAAGAGATGAACCACCGAAAGGTGCAGCTGCTCCATTTTTTTGCTTGGCCGCTGTAGAATAGCTTCAATCGCGAAAATAGGGAGGGGGAGATAGAACGAGGGATAGCTGGCTAGGCAGCACCACGCTTGTCCAGAATATCAAAATATTTAGCTTACCGAATAATCACAGCGAAAGTTCAAACATACCAGGCTGAATTACGAATAGCTGAATAGAAACGCGAAAAATTCAATCAACATTTGTCACTAGGTAATGCGGCAGCTATTATGCAGATGAGTAATAGCAAACACACTCCGAAGAGCACCGGAATTGAACGGCAGTATAAACTTGAACACTCAAACGACGGTATGAGGTACCGACCTCTATGCCCTAGCTGTCATTGGCAACGAATGATGCTGGAGGGAGGTAAGCCGTAGAGATAATGTGACCAAAGCGGAGCGAAACTTCCTGTGCTAGCTAATGTGGCTCAAATCGTGCCGCATTTTCAGAGTTGTGCGCAGAATATTTATGGGAATTGCCCGTCGCCTATTTATCTGTCAAATTTAATCCGATTTTCCATGCATCTTAGTTGACAAGAAATTGATGGTTAGAAGCGTACCAGTGGCACTTTGACTGCATGGAAGAATGCACTTGGTCGATGCAAATATCTGCGTTGTTCGTTCTTGACGATTTGTGACGCCTCTTGCGATCCCGAAAAGAGTTTGANGCGATCGTTGCCATTTTTGTCAAGACCGCTATGGATGTGCATTGTCTGGTCGTGATCATTTCGTGCAAGACGCTTGGCTGCACGCCAGATTTGCACATACAATACAAGCATGATAATCGTTGGTCCATAGAAAGAGATGATCGTGGCATATATTTGATAGGCAAAATGCTGGATCACCTGAAAAAAATACAAGGATTCCAAAATCCTCCTTCCAAATTCCATACATCCAGTTTTTGTAAATGTCATTGGCGCTTATGGAGCATACAAGGGCGATTATGGAGCATACAAAGGCGATTTCGCGTTCTCGATCTGTCTTTCAAATTTGGATTTTGATCCTCATGCGAATGCTTAAAGCAATCAAGAAATGCAAAAAAAAATCAAGGATTCCGTTAATTCGGGTAAGAATTGAATTCAATTGGGTGTTCAACAGTTTTATCACACATACACCCAGACGATGTAGTTTGCTTTTATGCGTGAGATTAGGTCATGCTCTATATTTCAGTTGAGGGGTAGGAGGGTGGAGAGGTGGAAAAGAAGCTTGCCCCAAATGGCTAGCCCTCGATCATGTCATCTCCGCATAGAGAACGATTTGCCTTGCCTGACATATGAATCAGTTATTCTATAGCTAGCAAAAAATCCCTAGAGAAATATTACGAGCCCAGCTCTACTGCTTCAAGAACTCTAGCAACAGCGGTTACGCTTAGACTCCCAATTTGATTGCACTGGGAGCGTCATGACCGAAACGGAACGGTGAAGAAAAGAATAAAGTCAAGAGATGAACAAGCATGCATGAGGGCACCAAAGGTGCAAATTAAGGCGACTGCACAATCAGCTGGCCAGCTCCGTGCATTCCTGACATTCACTACCAATGAACCATAAATGATACTACATAAGAATAATGTGAGAGGGGTTTGAAAGCAACAGCCAATGGAATAACTGAAGACATCAACTTATGAGTATATCATTACGAGCATTTGTTTTGAATTGATGTTTTTAACTACTGTTTTATCGCCAAAGTACGCGTTGCGAAAGTCTCACATGGTTGTCGATTCGTGGACAAAACTTCAGTCATGGACGGGACTCGAATCCGTACTTGAGCGTTCCGGGCAGAACTACCGGTTCGAGTCCCGTCGGAGACTGAAGTTAACATCACCCACTAGTGATCAAAGTGAACCATGCGGGACCTGCGAGACTGGTTCAGCACGACTGAATACTTATTCCCGAAAATTACCTGACAAATTTGATTTTCAGGCGTTTCGGCGTCCAGAAGATTTGAAATGATATGTGAGGACAGGCTAACTATAGCGGCGATAATCCACACCACAGCTATGTAAAAGAGCATTCGAGTTGTCGTTCGTGCGGCCGCGTATCGTAGTGGCCGAGTGATAATTAAGTAACGATCAACGGATATCGCACAGAGGCTCACGATCGACGCTGTGCACAGTGTCAGGTCAGCTGTCGTCCACAATTTGCACATCGACCTGAAACTCGCAGGCGAAACTAATAAAGAGTTCCAGCCAAACACTCAGCACTGGATATCAAAGGCTAGTAAAGCCAATAAAATTGGTCAAGGTCGAGGTTTTTCCCAGACAAACATCATGCATTCGTACTAGTGAACATCATAGATTTGTTACACCTTTTGTGGTAATGTCCATTACTACTTCAATTAGTCTCGGCTTGAGTTACTGCTGAAAAATTCGCAGCCAGTGAATGGAAACGGCGAGATGGTGAGTAGTCAATGAATAAAGATATGTACCATAACCGTGAACCCATTCAGCGTCACAAAACAAAGCATTCATCTCATAACAAAGCTCCTGCGATGTATTGGTGACTCATTCACTTAACCAACTGAAATAGCCCAGAGTGATACCTGGCGAAAAGCATTACTACGACCAATACAGGTATTTTAAACCACAACAGGATCTAGTCGGAAAAATTTCACAAACCTTCCTAGAGGCCACTTGGAGAAGAGTAAGTCAACAGACGCCAGAGGCATTACTAGCAATCCAACAAGAAAGTCGGCTATAGCCAGCGAAACAATAAGAAAATTTGCTGGATGTTTGAGCTTCCGAACCAGAACGACGGCTAGACAGACAAGCGCGTTGCCAACGATCGTTACGACGATCATTATCAACACGATCAACGCGAGCAGTGCCTTCAGAGGCTTCAATGGGGAGTTCATCGATGTAGCAGTTGACGGTGGTGAACCGTCGTATCGAAGCCATGGATCGTGCGTTGGCGGTAGGATAGTGATGGAGAGCGGTGGTAGTGCACGCTCCATCACCACTGCTGCTTCAACATGGGCGGGCCCTCGATATTGCTGCCCGAAATTGCTTGCCCACCCACTCCCGTCCCCGTCGTGCTCAAAAAATTCTACGATGCTCCATAGCAAGCATTTCAGCTACTAAATACATGATACATTCCAGTCAATTTGAAAGTTATTTACTTTTTTATGGGAGAGTTGTACTAGTTACTACGACCACTTTACCAAATTGGTTTTTGTATACATTCGCTGGCAATGCGATCAGCGAGGCACCTCTACAAAGATCTATCAATGAAGTGTCTCTTTGACTATTGCCTACTCTTTAAAACCTCACGTACTCATGAGTGCGTCCATTCAATCTCTGGTAAATGGATTTCTCCCACCCGTTAGTATGAGCATAGCAAAGCGCTGTTTAAATCCCAAGACCGAACGCAAAAATTTTAGAGCAGTGATCTTTTTTGATTTCGAATCGTTTAAGAACTTTCGTTTATTATCCCGTACATAGGTTGACTGACCATAAAAAGGGTAGGAACACCGTACTATCATGTGGGACGTTCACATCTTCTGCTTTAGCACAAAGAGCGGCATTACTGGTTCTGAAGACACAATTCACGTTAAGCCTTTGACGACCATGCTGATTTCGACGTGACGCGCCCAAAGGACCACGCCTCCTTCCTTTCGTGCCCGGTGGCACCCACCGGTGGGTGCCATGGTCCCCGAAGGAACTAATTTCTCTGGCTTGTTAAACTTAGCAATCTTTCCGCGTACCANAAACATCACATCTTATTTTATCTTATATAAAACTGAGGTACAGAATTGCACTTCGGTTTTGTAAGCAATGTAGGTTAGAATTTTGGTAGTAGTGTGAGCAATTGGCATCGTATAACATCCAAGGATTTTGAGGATGAAGAGTCGTACTGCCTCTAATGCTTCCAGGACACACACAAATCTTGCCGAAGTATCTAAACCTTTTCAGTACTACTCCATTGACTATATATGTTTGTAATAAATAAGCTCCTATAGAACATTCATGTTCATCATGTTAAATATAAATACCATGAAGTTTTTATCAAATATGACAATATTAAGAAAGTTTCAAATGTGAAATAAAGGAAAAAATATGGTGGCATCCAACACTGGGTGCCATGGTCCCATGCGCCAGTCATAGTGGCACCCACCGGGGGGTGCCATGGTCGTCAAAGGGTTGAAAATGGTTTCTTAGGTTTCTCCTTAGGATGAACTGTCTCCCGAGGATAGCCTAAGAGACGCTGTCGGTCTGAAAAAGTCAAGATAAGATTTAATAAGGCTTAGCTGACGTACACACCCAAGGCGGACGAGTTCCTAAGCGTTGTAGAATCTGTGGAGGATGCACCGTTCGCAACGAGACCAACACCTTCCACGGAGGGAGCGTATTGCTGCCAGCTGTATGCAGTGCGAACGCATCTGAACAGCTATTTCAAATACTCCATCCACGCAGCAAACCCTAATTTTACTTCTCTTTTGATGCCTTATATTTATCTCAATACGCCGACTTTCGCGTTTCCTTTGCCACTTCCGCATTGAGCTGGATATCATTCCCATTACTCGATAAAAACTAGATAACGCAAAATTATCGTAAAGTTTGCCTTTAGCATGGAGTATATTGTAGTCCCTCCTACTAAAATCATTCCATGCAAAATAACAGTAATGTGTGGCATCCTGCCCATCGACTCCGCCAAAAGCTAACATTCGGGAGGCTGGGAAGTATCTGGAAGGCGATTCGTGGCCGCCTCCAAAAACAGAGCCTCTCGTCTAAGTTTCGGGATAGCCTGGCAAGCCCCGGAGTAAACCCAGCCCCCACGTCAGAGCCTGGAAAGCTACACGTTGGGTATCCACTTGCCACAAACAGTAATAGAAATGGGCTTCATCTCCTTGAACCTGAGGGAGCCTCCAATACGGCAGCGTGGGGTAGAACCGCTCGGGAGAGGCTGCTAAAATCTCAGGGCCAAAACAGGGTGCCCAAAAGGAGAAGGACTAGGATGGCGCATGGACGCTTGCACCGGAAGCGTGTATAGAAGACCTGATGATACAAGCTAGGAAGATCAGGTACGAAGTAATCGGACTGACCGAGACGAGAAGGCAGCGCCCGCTGCACGCTGTATTTGAGACTGGAGAGGAACTGTTCCTTGGAACATGCGACAGCAGAGGCGTCGGTGGCGTAGGTGTTCTCATCAATAAGCACTTGGCTGCGAACATCGATTCGTACGAAACTTAACAACCCGAATCGGACATTTGCGACTAAGCTGTGGCTCAACCCCAGCTCAAACTATCTTCGTTGTCTACGCACCAACATCG